GATGAATAGACGACCTCAAAATGTCACTCAATATTCCACAACCTTGCCCCGATGAGGGCTTTCTTACTTTAAACGGACTGCGGTTTCAACCTCGCCCCGCCAACTCATTATTCCTAATTTTTCGTATATGAGCTGAATTTCGAGTCTACAAATAAATCACTTCCTGGGATGTATTCACCCTATTTTGTTGAATTTTGTAGAATTTTTCCACATTCATATGAGGAGCCCTGGTGTTTCTATTGAATTTCACAAATGAAGTAATGCTGTCGATTGTTATGGCAACAATACGATTGCTTCACCGACAATCCCACCAAAGAATGTGATATGGAAAAATGGGCCAGGCCCTCTTCGAAATTCACATCTGCCCTGTGACTCAACGGCACTCGTGGCAATGTGGTCGAGTTCCCATTCTGCACTGTCACGGTTCGATTCCCGCTGGGGGTGTTGATAAGACCGACGCGAGATTCGAGCTTCAGTCCACTGGTGCCTGAATGAGAACAACTTTTGGGGAAGCAAAGCTATGTAAAATTCAATGGAAACGTCAGCTTTAATCAGAAGAATTTGGGAAAATTCTTCTTCCAGTCCTTCATCACCTTAAATGAAATAGAGTGAATACATTTCGTACAACTCATCAGTACCCCAAAATGGGATTCACCGTCAAGTTGACAAGGTCAAACGACAGGGTTATCAGTCTGCTTCACAGTCACAAATGCCGAATATTAAATCACCGTAAGTGATCTAAGCTAATTCATTTTAATGGCAGTTTCAAGATTTATTCACTAGCCCAAATCAGATCCAGTCTAAAGATGGACTGGATGAGACCTGGTCTGCATTAAAAGCCGCATTCGCGATGTCATCCTGTGGTACTCGAGGTTCACCATCGAGCGGAGGACTTCGGTTGTCAGAGTCTGTCGATCCAACTGACGGAGTATCGAGGCGAAAATTAAGCATTCCTTGTATGATACGTCAACAGGTGAGTCTTCTGCTTGAAAGGTGATTAAATAGAATAACTTGACTTGGCTGGCCTTGGTACCAGTTTATGGTTTGTATATTTTCAACACTTTCAATGCAATTTATTGTCTAATACTGGAGCTGCAGAGGCTGTTTGTTGAATGCAAATAGCTGGACCTGGCGTACGCAAAAAGGAGTAAATTCGTTCTTATGCCAAACCAGAGAATAAACTTGGTGTTCTCTTCGAAGGCTTTGCATGCTACCCTGGAAACCGAAGTTTGGGGCGTTAAATATCACTTCGGTACCAGCATTTCTCTGTAACTAAATTGGACCAAGCTAAGTGCAACCCGTCGTCGTGTTCTAGTGAATTTTGCCTCTCAAATTTTACATATTAGGACCACGATGGCGTGGCCCTCCGTTTGGTCACAGTCTCCTTTAGCTTTATTGTGTTGGTTCGACCTTGTTTTCACAGGGTGGTCGCAGGGTCAAGTAGACCTTGTGGAATGTACCTAGTCCCGTGTCCTCTGCCATATCATTCGTGATTTCCACCTTCACACCATTGACTTGGTACATTCCCAAACGGTTATACATCAAAATTTTTATTCCTCCCCTTTTACCAAAAGGTACATATCTTCTCAACTCCCATCGTATGACTCACCTTCAACTTTAACCCACGATAACTTCTAGATTATTGGCCAAGTATGCATATTCCTGTTGTGATCTTTTTGTAAGTGCATCAAAATCGACGCTGACTACTTTTCAGTTTATTAGTATGTACCAGTAGATCTGATATAAGAGCTGTATTCATCCTATTTCAATTACGAAGGACTGGTATTTGCATTTTTCCACAGTTACTTGAGTAAGCCTCATGTTGCCATGGTAGTTAGCATAGTCTTGCTTCCCAAAAGATATTCTCATCCACCCTGGATTTCAGTTTCGAACTCAAAGGACTCAAACGCGCTTTGTGATAATGCAGCGAATTGCCTCGACGCTTTAACCTCTACGCCAGACTGCTAAGAGGGACCAGAGGTCAGATGGAAATTGAAAAATGTCAGTCGAGCTTGGAGCATTTGATGACTTGACAAAGCTCATCCCTATCGCTCGTTTTACAATAATGTTGTCGAAATTGTAGCCGACTGTAGCAGCAATTAAAATACTGTCTCGTCAACAATGTCACCATAGAAATGTGATATAGAAAGGCGTAGGCTTCACTTAAATCCACTTCGGCACTACCACTACCCAAGTCCAAGCCCCGCTGGGGATACTGATGAGACACGGGCGATATCGAAATTCAGCTACCAGTCGTTCAGCACCCTAAACGAAAAAGGGTTAATACAGCTCTGATACCAACTAGTGATCAATTTAATTGGAATTAGTACAAATCCGATAAGAAAAGAAATGGATTTATTAAGCTGATGATAAGACCCTGAAATGCTTTAGCTCTCCTTGCCTCCTGTAGGTTTTACCTCCCTAAGGGACAAACATTATTGTTACACCAATTATGTTGGAGGCCATACTATATCCCAATAAAAATATGTGCAAAAAGGTTGCAACAATATATATTACCCATTAAACTTAAATTTACTTGTTAAAAGTAGTTTGACCTTGTTTTCGCAACTTGATCATATTGGTAGGAAGACTTAGAGGAACGCACCAAGTGCGGAGTCCATTGTATGTATGATCATTTGCAGAGTAGGACCGTGGACGTCTTCCTCCCAATAAGTTACGAAAACAAGGTCAAACTACTTCTATACATTATTTTCTAGTGACTACCAGTAAATCTATAATATGAGATGTATCTACCCAATTTCGTTTAAGGTGATAAAGGACTGGTAGAAGAAGAATTTTCCCACAATATATGAATACATCTCATTTTCCTGATTTACTGGTAGTCACGAAAACAATACTTAATTCGAAAAATAAAGTTTAGTAGTCGATTGTTGTAGCAAAACATACGTTTGCTTCATCGACAATCCCACCAAAGAATATGGTATGGCAAAAAGGCCTGGCCTTCGTTGAAAATTCACATTTTCCCTGAGACCCAAGAGTCTCTCGTGGCAGTGTAGCCTAGACGTTAGCGTGTCAAGCCCCCATCCTGCATTGTCGCGGTTCGACTCCCGCTGAGGGTGTTGATAAGACCGAGGGGAGGTCGAAACTGCAGTCCACTGGTGCCTGAATGAGAACAACTTTTGGGAAAGCAAGGCTATGTGAAATTCAATGGAAGCATCAGCTCAACTCATGTCATTGTGGGAGTTCTTCTTCTACCAGTCATTCATCACCTTAAACGAAATTGGGTGAATACATCTCATATTACTTCTATACAGCAATAGGAGACTGCGACCACACAAATGGTCACATCATCTTGGTCTTCATACCTTCGATAAAATTTGCTTGGATTATTTCATTCCTCTGACAGGATGGAATCAGTCTAAAGAAGCGCTACAGCGCCACTCTTGCAGAGTTTTTGCAGTGCCCAATTTTGTGGTTAAGCCGTTAAATTCTGAAAATTTTGGGTGCTTCTACAACCTTTCATTCAACTACTCAAATAATGGTGCAGTAGACACAACAAGTTCATCTGCTGAAATTTTAATTCTGACATATTCTGAGTGTGTATTCGATAATTGATTCAACGGGAATGATGTAACGGCCATAAACTTGGATATTGTGTCATTATTTGGAGTATAGAACTACGTGAAAAAATTATTTCTGCCTTCATTCCATACAAACTCTATGAGAGTTTCTAAATGTTGTTTAATCAAAAGAATGCACTTGATAAGATCATGTCATGACATGGCTTGCTAACGCCCAGCAAACTTAATTAATGCTTTCCAAGTTGTTAGTGGTTTATTTTAGTCTTATTATGCTTTCATTACGAGGCTCAGGGCTGTGCTTTCTGCGGTCTTATGTCTATCTTTATTCAGAATGCAGGTTGCAATCTGAGCAGGTTTCTGCCTTTATTTGTCACTCAATGCATCTCTTGTATGTCAATGAAGGATAATTCACCTAAAGCATCAGGCCTACTCAGAGTGGACAGCAAGTAGACGACAGATTTACTTGAAGTGTTGCTTAATTCTCTTGTCCATCTGTGGCAGATATCAGGAAGATGTCCATTTTAACTAATGCAGTTTCAATTCTATTCAATCGATTCTCATTCTTCCGTACACACTTCCAATTACTCGTCACTATTGTGTTTGAGGCAGAATTACTTAGTTTCAGGGGAACTTTCTTGCTGAACAACCCAAGAGAATGGGAAGGGAGAGTTTAAATTGCTTAATTTGCCTCTTGAAGGTGAGTCAAAGGTTCCTAGCTTTCGATAGATTGGAGCCGATCTCGGAGCTGATCTAGCTTATCACTTGCCTCCATATTACTGGTGATAGTAAATATTGTCAAATGTACGGCAGTGTCGTAGCCTGCCCTGGGGCGACGATTTACACATAGAACGGCGCATCAACCCTAAACAAGGTAGTTGATACACCCTATACACGGAAAAACCATTTGCCGGCATGTGTGGCTAGCATTCCTACTCTACTGACGGTGAAAATCGAATAATTAATACTCAAAAATGTATGTTTTCGTTAGCTATTGCATCCGAAATGTTGACCTGGATTTTAAGCATTCACTCTAAATCCCTCAAAGTTCACACGGAAAAATTGATAGCCTCTCACATACCGAATGGTGTTATTTTGGTTGAGATGACCTGAGCAAAATAGAACGTGCGGCTAAAAAGGCCAAAATTAAGCTGTTCTAATTGGAAAATAATAACGACACTGATGGAAAAGTCATCGCTTCACTAGCAAACTCAGATGAATGCGTGTGCACTTACATCAATTTTGCTGCAAGACATCATGACATGGCATGTTTGCGTCACGTCTGCTGCGTGTACAAGATTGTGATAAGGGTTGTTGTGTCGACTGTATCCGGTTTCTAGCTGGATGAGAAGATTCTCCAGGCAGGTCGTGTCAATCTAAAAGTTATAACAATTAAGAAGTTGACATGAATCAACTTGAGCTCATATTTAATCTTATTTAAAAGGTATACACGAAGCCACATCCACTTGTGGATCAGCAGAGCTTAGCCTTATATTCTGAAATTCATTTCTGGCAAGGGATATTCGCTTAAGTAATGATGGTAATAAATTTGAGATGTATAAAATCTTCCCTATTGAAATATGAAGGTCACATTTTCAGTAAAAATGTCAACCACGAATACGTAAGATGTTAAAACTAAAGCAGGAAATTAACTCAGATAATAAATGCCACAAATGACTTGCATTTAGGGACGGTAACTGTTAATTTTAAAATACTACTTTAATTGTTTATAAGTAGTAATATATACTATTGAAAAAAGAATTGACCCTAACCCTCAGTATTAGAGCTCTACTGCGAGAAACGTTTTTCTATAAATAAACTGCATCGAAAAATAATTTACTCTGATCTCACCTGAAACTTTTTGATAAGGTTGTACTTATGAAATAGCTCGAAACCGACGAACTTCAACGCGTGGTTTTCGCTGGCCTCATTTAGCTCAAAGGCATCAAATGTCCAGGAATCAAGACCACTCTATAAATGGAAAAGAGAAAAGATTGTGCACTTATTTAATTAGCATAGGGATTAAGTGTGTAGAGTAGATAAACACTTACTTCATACTTATTTCACATGATGCATGATGTACATTTGGCCCCGGTAGCCGCAGCTTGCAAACCCCAATTTAGGCAAGATCAAATCTGCCAAATTCTATTGTATGTTTAGAAGTGATCTGATCTCATTTTCGCAGTTTGGTCGTGTTGTCGGCGCGATCTAATTGAATACGCCTTGTTTGAAGTAGTCATGATACTTCCTGTCGTCGGACCATGAACTTGCTATATTTCAAGATGTCCCTCAGGCTTCGTGGTCGGCATAGTCGGTGATTTTTGTTGTTTTTAGCACCAAGCTACATCCCGTCAAGGAGACAAGTTAAGTCAATCCCTTGAGCAAATTTCTGCCGAACGGTTAAGTTATTACTCTCACTGTCCTGACATTAAAGCAATCAACTTTAGGTCCAGTTTTCAAATGATGGGATGTATTCCAGCAGATAGAGATGATATCCTTTGGTACCGGACCAAGTTCGAGTACCACCATTCATGAGAATTGGTCTTCTGAAGTGCAACATTCGAGCACAAATGGCCATTGCAAGGCTGGTTAGAATGAAGGATGTCGGAACCATACCTCGGACCAAGCATACAATTTCATCAACAATTGATGAGTGGAATTTTTCGTTCATAAGTAGATCTTCGAGTCTACCATTTGGTCATTTATGAATGAAGTGTATTCACCCTATTTCGTTTGGGGGGATAAGGGGACTAATAGTTGAATTGCTCCACAATGCCATGAGTCAAGCTTACGTTTCCACTGAATTTCATATAGCCATGCTCTCCAACTAGATATTCTCATCCAGGTTTGAGAACATCCCCAGCGGGACTCAAACCATGACAGTAAAGTGTATAATCTTGACACGCCAATCACCACGCCACATTTCTATAAATGCTCTTGGATCACAGGTAAAATGTGAATTTCAAGGAAGACCTACGGGAGGCGAAGCTGCAGTCCATCCTGGATGAAGATATCTTTTGCGAAAGCAAAACCATGTGAAATTCAATGAAAGCGTAAGCTGTACTCATGGCATTGTGAGAAAACTGAACTACTTGTCCCCATTATCATCTTAAGCGAAATATCGGCTGAACAAAATCACGGATTCTGTTCATCAGAACACTTCTATGCTTGTATGAGGCCTACGTTAAAATTAGATAATTACAGAGGCATCAGGACAACTTCATTAGATCTTATCTGGATATTTTCTTTGGCATGACTGTGAATACCATTGATTTCCAAGACAACACAAGTCAAAGAAACTGTATGAAAGCTAGCTGGTTATAAATCATAATTGAAGCATTACTTAGCAGCTGGCAGTCTAAATATGCACAGAAGTTTAACAATCTTAGTTTATCATTATCATATCTTCTTATCTCTTCTAAGTTATCATATACAAGTACTGTACTTAAGATCCAATATTGCTTAAAATTATCGAAAAAATTTGCATAAATTGGCATAACTTCTGGACTTACTTTGAGCATAAGCATCACATTTGGTGGGACCACCAGGTTTGAGCAACTTGACATGCGACGGTAAATCCTAAAAATAGCAAGTATAATTTAATTGTGAATATTTAAATTTATACTTATAATAATACACAAACTTTTGGTACATATATAGCGTTAATTTTTCCTTGTATCTAGCATAGAGAGAAGCACATTGGCGCATTTCTTCATAATGCATTCTTGTGCTATCCCAAAATCGGAACATCTTGAGAGTGCGTTGATCTACATTTTTTTCTGCACCATAAAATAGTTGAGATATTTGCTGAAGAGTGTCATAGATTGCATAAACCTTGGACTTATCTTAATTAAAAGCGAAATCTTTTAGTGTCAATGGCAAGGATGCAACCAGACCACAAGTAATTTCGCCAGTCAACTTTGCAATCAGCAAAGAACGCCTAAAAAAATTGGCAAATCTAAAAATGTATACGTTCACTAGAGATTCACTAAAGTTTGATAGTTAAGCTGTAGAAAAATTCTTTATTATAAGGAGAAAAATTCACCAAATATCGCTTATTTTCAATTTATCCTATTTTTATAGTAGGATGTAGACCTAAATTTTGCTGCATTTTATCAGTTTTTATAAATAACAATTCACAACTTATCTGTCCAAACGACAATCCATAGT